GGTAAGATGAAAAAAAATTTTTCTTTCCACCCTTGAAGCTATTCAGAAGCCTTCTCAAATTTCTTTACATATGGAGAGGGTCTAAGCTCACTGAGGGAACTTTCTTTCTTAAGGATTAATTAAAGAACTTACTATTTATTAATCAAATGATCATTTTACTCTGGATCCAAATCTTTCATAATAGGATAAGTCTGGCTCAAAAAAAAATATATCATGCAAATTCTTTTCTTTTCTTCTTTCTTTTTTTTTTTTTGACTGGGATCAGGTTTTATTCATTTTGGTTTGGCACAGTGACTCTCACACACAATATGTCAGATATTTATCAATTGTATATAGGTTTATTCTTCAAAAATATCTATTCTCATATTTCTTCATCAAGAATTCTGGAGCAAATTCTTAATGATACCACATGGTAAAAAGAGCCAATCAAATTTTAATGAAATTTTGATAAGAAGTTCAGCAAATTTCATAATGGAAAATATAAAGAAATGAAGGCAGTAGTATACTTCTACACGAAGTGGTTAAAAATAATAAAACCATCCTGTATGGGCACTAAACTATGGGCTGTACACTTTATATATATGATTGTATTTAATTATAAAACTCTATCAAGTAGATACAATAATTCCCAATTCAGAGGGGATACTAAAATGGAGAAAAATGATATAACTTGCAAGGTCATATAATCATTACAGGATTAAAAATAAATTCAAACCTAAGTATGTGTGACCCTAAAGTTATTACTCCTCTATAATGCCTTCCTTTAGCAATTAAAGGGAAGGAGAAAGAAAAGTCAAAAGTATTTCTTTAAACCATCTGACAATGTGTTTGCTGACCTATTGGTGGCTCAAGTAAAACCTAAATTAAGAGGAGAGACCAGAAATCGAAAAACATGACTACGCTAAAACCAGAAATCTGGATATAGAAGTCAATCCATGGATAAAGCAAAGGAAAAGACACAGGGAAGAAAAGTCTTGTAGGGCCTTGTCCTTCCACTTGGGCATCCATTTTCTTTCTTAGCCCGAAAAGCCTCTGTTATTTCTTTTTATTCTTCAAAACATTTATGAGGTTATTAAATGTAATTTTCAATAATAGAAGTAGTTGATAACTACAGAAACTATCAATTTTTATTTTGAAGGCAAATGTCAAGAGTGCCCTAAATACTTCTTAAGAATTAAAGTTTTACATATAACAGCTCAGCGATACCAGAAGTTAATTTTGTGCTGGTAAAAATTCAGTAATTGTTTTATTCAATTTACATAAATATTTTAAAAATTAGGTTAGACTTTTGCTATGATTATTTTTAGTTCCAATTTCAACTTGTTAGAAATACAATCAAGAAATTCAAATGACTGGAATTACTTTTTACCTTCAAATATAATTATTTATTTTGATGAAAAAGAGACAAAGTAAACAAATAGCAAGTATTGTTTAATTTTAATTACTTTTTTAGTTAAATCTGAGGATTGCCCTACCTCACTTCTTCTTTAATCATATTATTTATAGTAATTCACTCTATTTGTTTATTATTTTTTTCCAGAGTATACTATTTCTAAAGTAATGAGCAAGCCAAATGAATAACATCTAGAATAACATCAAAATGTATTTATTATAACAGTGATATAAATTTTGAAATAAAACATAAACATAATTATTTTTTAAAAAATAAGAATTAAATTAATATGAATAAATTGGAACCAGCCAGGCATAGTGTTAACTAAGAGAACCTCAGTAGAGAAACGGCAGAGATAAGACCTTAGGCCAAAGAGAGCACATCTAGAATGATCAGAAGAGCATATGACTCAAAAAGAGGCTGAAGAAAGAGAGCAGTAACTAGATCAGGGAGGTGCAATAGGCCATGATAGATGGTCTGGACTTTAGTATAAGAATAACAGGAAGCCATTGAAGATTTTTACCCGAGAGAGTTGCATGGTCAGATTTTAACTTTGAGAGATCAGTCTAACTGATGAAAGCAGGGCCAAGAATCAACATGTGAAAATAAATTAGGAGACCACTGTAGTGGCTCTGTAGAAGTTTATGGTGGCCTACAAGAAAATGGTAGCAGTGAATATAAGGAAAAAGCAAACATATTTTAGGTAAAGGAGATATCTATGTGTGAAAGAACACGTATAATAAAAGGAATAAAGATTTGATAAATAAATGAAGGGATTGTTTTAGAAAGACAACAACTTCCAGAAGGCCTTATATGGTGTTCTTTTCTCTTAATACACTAGACAATGTGGTCTGTCTTATTCATCACTTTATAAAAATTCAAAAAACAAAAGCAAATAAACATCATTAACTTTTAATGCCCTCTCTCATGTACTCATAAAAAGCCTTTCTAGATAATGTTTATGCCTTGAAATAAATACTCTCACATCACCCATACATTTAAAAAATACATAGTATGTAGATCCTTATTTTTGTTAAAAATAAAAAAGCCAGATTTTATGCTTAATGTTCAAAATCATTATTACCTTTCTAAGTTCTTTCCTTATCAATTATGCCCCACTACTTCTTACACACACTTCTTAAATAGTTAATAAAAATTAAAAAAAACAAATGTCCTTCAGATTCTAAAGAGTTCTAAAAATTTTCTCTAGATTCTTTCTTATGATCTCTCTTCAACATTCCCCTGTATCCTACAGATAACCATCTTTCCTACTTCATAGAGGAGAATAGGCAGAAACCCCTTGATTCACTGCCCTACCCTGGTTCCACAAACATATCTACATTGCACCTTTCTCAGTGGAAAAGGGTCCTCCTTCCTGGCTTCTGGTAATTCAGAGGAAAAGTAACCTTCATAAAATCTAATGGAGTTGAATTTCTCTGCCACTGCTCTAGATATCATTCTCAAAAATTCCTCAGGTTACGAATGTAATACTAATTTCCTTTCTTATATTTTTAACCCTTCTATTCTCAGTTCTTTTCCTTCAGCATATTCATATTCACGTTCCTTCCATCTTAAAACCACCTTCTGTACCCTTTCTAACATTTGCCTAATTTTTCTCCTTGCTTCATTGACTTTCTAAAAAAGCATCATAAAGGCTGTTTATATTCTTCTGCTCATTTGACAGTTGGACATATTTCATTATTATGCCTATTTTAAATAAGACAAGAAGGTTGAGTAAGGTTAAATAAACTTCCCTAAAACTATAAAATATAAAGCAGTTTAGACAGAATTCTAATCAAGATATTCTTATCTAAGGCTTTACTTTGCAATATAAAGCTTGATGCCATCATGTCATTATATGTAATGATTTGTTTTTGTGTTTATTTTTATAAATAGTAATATCATGTTCAATTCATGTTACTTAAAGAAATACATGTGAATAATGAGAAAACAAAGTGATCTTTTAAAATATGTGACCTAAAGATAAGTACATGACTTATTTTTTTCTGATTTTTAACTTGGCAAAAGCTATTACATAAATATCAAAGTATTATTCATCTCTTTATGGTATTACTTTAAAAGCATAAATGATAAAGTATTACTTGTTTATTATTTTACATTACAGAATAATAGATACAAAGATATTGTAATTTATACTAAAGTGAGTGAAAATATGATATGATAAAGGAAATACATTTTATTTAATTTATCCAAATTCAGTTTCATCAAGATCAAATAGTGCAAAGAACTGACACTATATTTTAGAAGGGCAGTCTAATTGTACATAATTCAACAATATTATTTCAGCTAAATATTAAAAACTTTAAAAACTATTACTCATAGTAGATTATTCTTAGTTTGCTCCATTATATTATTATTTTCTAATTCCTCAGCTATCCTTTTCAATTAATTTAGACAGATAATTTCTTCAACAAAATTAACCACTTAATGTTAATATACTTTTGTCACTAAAGTCTTTAATGTATTCATTTATTCTGTAACCATTTATTAAAGACCTACTGTGGGCAAAGAACTATGCCAGGCATTAAATGTAGAAAGATGGAAAATGGGTGACATAGCTACCATCTGAGGTAATTCAAAGAGAATGTCAGTAGCACATGAAAGTCACAGGTGACCTCAGGAAACTTCTGAAAGTATATTCATTTTAATACAAACATTTAACCAAGGTAACACATGGGCAAATTATATACAAATGCAGTTTAATACAGTATATGTATTAATGACTAAAGTACATCTCAACATTACTAGCTTTCTCAAATGAGACTCTAAAAGAAAAAGATAAATTTTTATATTGAGGAACTATATATCATTTCAGAAAATATAAATTACTTTTTTTTCCTGTATATATAAAGGAAGTACTACCAGTGTGAAAAATAATGTGAATATTTTCATATCTCTGCATAGCTAGGGTTTTCTGAGTACAGACAGAGTTGTAATTTGGGTTAAAAGACAAATTTGGGAAGTTAAAAGATGACTGAATGACTGAATAGATAGTGAGAGATTTATTCCCAGGATTTATCTCCAAGGAGGTAAACACTAACATTTTAAAGGGGGCTAAAGACTGGAACCATATATTTATATTCCAAAGGATTTTACATTACAGAGTTGAGGTTTCTCTTCTCTCAGGAGAAAAGGAGGGCAGCTCTATAATAGTTCCTATATGCCCAGGTTAATAATTAGGGAGCTCCTCTCTTGTGAGGTTTGAATCTCCCTTCTGATACTTACAGATGCCAATATCTAGCTCTCTTCACATTGCTCTGAATGGGAGCATAGAATGCTGGAAACTGATATGCTATTGTTCTAAAAAAGAATAGTCTGCCTGGATCCAGAAACTTTGTATTTGCTTTCGGGATAATATATATATATATATATTTACTACTAA